TTAATTTAAGGGAAACAATGAAGTCATGAAGTTCTCCAATCTGAGTTCAACATCATTGCATTCCTTAGCTGCATTTGTAACTTCAATTCCAGTTACAGTTCTGAAGCATTTTGCATTATTATCATCAAAACATAAGAACTGGTTTGAATAAACAGTTTCATTGCCAGCTCACTGGGACAGATCTGGTGGCATGACTATTTCTATTATTGAAGCAATCCTGGACCAGCTACTAGAAGCAAAACAGATCAAATTCACAAGTATAGGGGCAAACTGGCAAATTTTGGTATCCTATATTGCTTCTGAGCCAACTGCAAATCATCAAAATTTAATTAATGGCAATCCACCATACATGAACCACCTGTTTAAATCAATTTCATATCCTGAATCAGCACAATTTGCAAATATTAACAATGAAATGTGTATTTCACAGAATACTCTGCTAGACCTGGGCTTAAAGATGAATCTTCTCAAGCAGGATACTCAGAATTTGATTGCTCAGATTGATTCAATGGAAGTAGCAATTGCAACTGTCCCTCTTAATAAAACTTACTAAACTGTTCTCAGCACTCTGTTGGCTAGCAACAATAAAAAGCAACAATCCGTGTCTGATCAACTTCTTTAAATGCCCTTTTCTTGCTTGCAGGTTGCTCTTGAAATCTGCCACCATTCCTGTATTGAGTAACTTATTTATGGGTGGTAGGTACAGACTTGTCATAAATGGTTGCTAACTTTGATTCCTCGGAAAAAATATCTTTATAAAAAATGAATGAGCTTTTCATAAGCTTGACTGCAGAATAAGCTGTTGCAACATTTGTGACAATTCTTTTCTACCATGAATCTTTTCTGCCATGAAACTTTTCATGTAGGAAACTTTGACAAATGAATTCAGAAGAGAAGGCGGACTTTGACGAGGAGTTGGCGCAGGTGCTCGTTGGAGACGGACTCCTTGCTGGAGCTATGACGCAGACAGCGCTGGAGCAACGCGTAGGACGACGCATTACGGAGGAACTGCGCAGCCATGAGCGTGCAAAGGAAGAGCAGCGCCGTGAAAAGACGGTTTCGCAGCTGGCAGCTTTGATCGACGCGAGGGAAAGGGCCCACAATAGAGCCGGAAGAGCGCGAGACAGAGCCGGAAACAAGGCTGGAATCGCAGCCGAAAGAGCCGCAGATGCCCGCATCGCCGCCCTCCAAGCAGATTTGGACGACATTGATGCCCGCCTGGCTGCCCTCGTTGACACTAACGGGGCCACAGTCTCAAGCAACAGCATAAGAGCCAATAATAGTACTGCAACAAGCTACAATAATGCTACCAACGCTGGCAACGCCGGCCGCTCCGTGGCCGACCTGACAAACGAAATGCGCGAAAGAAGTCGTCCACAACAAAGCCACTATGACAGGGACAGCGACAACGAGGTCGCGCCCGAGTCCGACGAAACTGAAGCCGAGTTGGAAGTATTACCAAGAATACTCAGCGTTGTCGACGATGCTAACGAATACAATTACCAACGCCGATATGCTGCTTGGGTTGAAAATCGTAGACGTTCCAGACTTAATAATTCTACCGACATATTCAACGAACCATTCACGCCACTCCCAAACGATCTACTGTTATCCGACAACTTTACCGTCCCTGGCGATGTTGCCCAAAAACTGTTTCCGTACCAGCTCGCGTCACTCTCGTGGCTGAAGGAGCTGCACACGCAGGAAGCTGGCGGAATTCTAGGCGATGAGATGGGGCTTGGAAAGACTATACAGATTATTGCATTTTTGGCGGGGTTGCATCGGTCGGGGTTTTTGGGCGATCGTGTAAGTTTGCTTTTATTTTTTTATTGGGAGACATGAGAATGAGGGGGTGGTTGAGGAAGACAAGTGAAGCGAGAAGGAAGTGAGAAAAAACAGCAATGCTAGCCGGCGAAGTTGAAAAAAGACGCGTGAAAAGACTGAAACGAGTTAAAAATGAAGTGATTTTAGAATAAGAAGGAAAATAGAGAAAGTAATAACTGCATTAAGAATCAATTTACAGACTCAAAAATCTGACCTCCCAGCGATACCGGTTTCTTCGCCAGCATCAACGTCAAAAACATCGTTAAAGCAAAACGAGCCAAATTTCAATAGACCAATTCTGATTGTTGCGCCGGCTACTGTTCTGAATCAATGGGCCAAAGAGTTTCACGAATGGTGGGGTGCTCTACGCGTTATTATTTTGCATTCATCTGGAAGTGGCGTTGGAAGTACCGGTAAAACAGATTCGGATTTGAAAAGCCCGTCCCGATGGAAGAGTACTGGGCTCCGCAACAATCGTCGTTCAAAAAATTCTTTTGATGATGACGAAGAAGAAGACGACGACGATGTCGAAGAAGAGAATGAAGATTCGTATTATTCATCATCAGGCAGTAACGATATTGATTCTTCCAGCAGGAAACGAAAAAAGATTTCTTCGAAGTCAAAATCAGCAGCAAAATCAAAATTAAAAACCTCACAACAGCAACGGGAAAAAAACAAAAAGCAAAAGCAAGCTCTTCGAATGAATGAAAATAACAACAGTAGTAGTCGGAATCGAGATTTTGATTCACATCGAAAACCCCAAGAAGATGACGACGACGATAGTGATGTTGCCGACGAAAACAAGCGCAAAAAATTCAAAAAATTGAAACCAAAAGTGCGCAAACAAATTGCTGAGCTTGTTGACCGTGTTGTGAAATCGGGGCATGTGTTGTTGACAACTTATGAAGGAGTTCGAGTTTATCGCGAAATTTTGTTGCCAGTCGCATGGGCGTATGTGGTTCTTGATGAAGGGCATAAAATTCGGAACGCGGATGCAGATATTACGTTGGCGTGTAAGAAATTAAGGGTTGTTTATTTTTATTTCTATTTTTTATCACCTTTGTGTATGTATGTGTTGATTTTGTATTTTTTTTTCTTGTTCTAGACACCTCATCGTATCATTCTATCTGGAACACCGATTCAAAACAATTTGAAGGAACTATGGTCCCTGTATGATTTTGTTTTTCCTGGACGTCTAGGGGTTTGGATGCCCAACGACTAGATTATTTAAAGCTAATTTTATGAATTTATGTTCTGATGTTTTTCTTGCAGACTTTGCCTGTGTTTCTCGTTCAATTCGAAGTGCCAATTAGGCTTGGAACATATGCCAACGCTTCTAATCTTCAAGTTCAAACAGCACAACGATGTGCCGCAATTCTTCGCGATTTAATATCCCCGTATCTATTGCGTCGCTTTAAATCCGACGTTGCGGCAGATTTGCCGCAAAAAACCGAAAGCGTCTTGTTTTGCAAGTTGACGAAAGAACAGCGCAGACTTTATGAAGATTATGTTCACAGTGATATTGTTTTGGGTGCAATTGATGGAAAACGAAATGCCTTGGGTGCTATTGATGGCGTTCGAAAGATATGTAATCATCCCGATTTGTTGCATCGAGATACTGAAAAGCAGGTTTTTTTTGTTTTTATTTTTATTTTTTCTTCTCTCTTTCTTTCTCACCATCAAACAGAAATCAAACTATGGAGATCCAGAACGATCGGGGAAAATGCAAGTTTTGAAGCAAATACTTATTCTTTGGAAGCGTCAAGGTCATCGTGCGTTAGTGTTCTGTCAAACAAGGCAGATGCAAGAAATTCTTGAGTTATTTGTGAAATCTGAAGGACACAAGTATTTCCGAATGGACGGCACAACACCTATCAAACTTCGAATCGGAATGGTTGATAGTTTCAACGCTGATTCATCAATCACAGTGTTTCTGCTCACCACAAAAGTTGGTGGACTCGGCATAAATCTGACCGGAGCCAATCGAGTGCTTATTTTCGATCCAGATTGGAACCCTTCGACAGATATTCAAGCGCGTGAGCGTGCTTGGCGACTCGGGCAGACAAAAGAAGTTGCAGTTTATCGGCTGATGATGTCTGGCACAATCGAAGAAAAGATATACCATCGGCAAATATATAAGCAGTTCTTAACAAACGGAATCCTGAGCGATGTTTCTACTGTTGGTGGAGGTGTTGGTATCACAGGTGGTTCTGGAAGCAAGCGGTTTTTTGATTCCCGAGGTTTAAAGGATCTATTTGTGTTGACTGATGAGAATGCACTGGGGACCGAAACTGGGGGTTTATTTGCTGGATCTGAAGTTATCGGAAAAGATAAGGTTGATTCCAGTATATCATCGACTTTTGCACCACGAAAACATTCTGACTCTTCAAAGCGCGCACATTTAAATCTGATTCCTGCAAGCCAGATTCATTCTGGATCAGCTGCTGTAACTGGAAACTTCGCGAATAAAAATGTTGAAGATGATAATGATGGATTAGCTGGAATCAATGATATTGCTAAAATCGAAGAGTTCCATACTCCACAAGTTGAAACAATCGCTGAATCTCAAGAACCAAAGCCCGCTTCTTCTGGAGAGCTGGATGAATCTCGAATTTTATTTTCACTGCTGCATTCTACAGTTGCGCATGACAAGATTATGGGTGAGACAGCAGCATCAGTAGATCCTTTAACTGCGGCGCAAGCCGATAGAGTTGCACGTGAAGCAGCTGAAGAGGTACGTCTTTCAAGAAAAAGAGTTAGGGCCGAGCAAAAGCGTGCTGCGCAGGCTGAAGGTGGGAAATATGCTGGCCTTGTGACGTTTACAGGAAATTCTGGATCAGCTGGGAGACACAGCGGAACAGCAAATTCATTTGCAGCATCATCCAGTGTAACATTTCCCACTGGAGCTGCACGTGGTGGCAGCAGCAGTATTAACAACCATCGTAACAACAGTGCCAGCAGCAGCAGTAACTCCAATGCCATTGCTTTTCATCCTCCTGCCTCTAGAACTACCAGACCATCAGCTTCTGTTCAACAAGAAGCCGGGTCAACACAATTTTTTCGTAATAACAATCTCCGTGGCACTATTGGCCCTTCATCAGCATCCCTTCTTGAGAATTTAAAAAAATGAGAAAAGGTTTTAATTAAAACTCTGTCACTCAAAACTTGCAAAATTCTAGTGCAGATTTACGTGATTCGAACACGCAACTTTTCGCTTCGGAGACCAACGCGCTACCGTTGCGCCAAGGAGTCAACTGAAGGGTACGACGGAAATTAATTAATTGTCCGTAATTTCAACTCGAAATTATTACTATTATATTATTATTTTATTATCATATTATCTTTTATTTTCCTTTATTATTCTTCTATTTGTCAGTTGCAGGTTCTTTTCCATTTCACAATTTTCTTTATG